ACTGATGATATTCCAATAAGAAGTATGCAACATAATTTAACCAATCCTCATCTACATTAATCAATGAAAATAGGGAGCTATTGGATGTTAATAAATGTGAAAACTCTACATAAGGCTACCTGCACGCAGGACACTCAGCCCTCCTGTAAGAGCAGGAATCTATCGCTTACCTATCCTGAGAACCTGAAGGCCCTTGTGTCTGTCTGTCAGGAAATCCTCATCATTCACTGTTGATGCCAAACCAAGGCCACAGTTTCACATTAATTGCTCAGTGCCCTACCTGTATTAAAATGTTACCCTCCTTTCACCCACACTTTAGTGCTATGGCTGCCCTTGGGAAAACTTCCTAATCTGCCACATGAGCATCAGACAGAACCACTCCAAACCAGAGCTGCCTTCAGCTCAGAACAGCGCCCTGCTCCAGCTCCATCTGCAGCCCCAAAGGCTTTTGCACAGGCAGAATGCAGGAGGGAGGGCCGTGTAGCAGCACCTGCCTAAGTGAAAGGTGCCACTGAAGGGCTCAGGAGCAGAAACAGCTTAAGCTGGTATCGCCATCAAACGTGTTGGATCATGAAAGCACAACCAAAGGGTGTAGTTTCACAGGATGTGAGCTTGGACAGCAAAGCAGTTTTAAGTTCCCACCCCATCTGCTCATTTCAGTGATCCTGTTTACAGCACAGCTTCACAAAGGGTTTTACTGACACAACAAAAAGATGGCAAAGTCTGGTGCAGGGCCAGGGGAGAAGCTGGCTTCACTGCTGAAGCCAAATCTTGTGAAACAGCACCCTAAGTGTTTGTTGTGGAAAGAACAGCCTGTCTGGTAACACTTGCCAAGGATTCACCAAACACCTGCTCCAAACCATCAGAACTCAGACCCAGCAAATACTCCAAACTCCGCTAGAAGTTTTATTGAGGTGATGCAGTCAACAAATAATCTTGGAAAATCAACTGTAAGACTCAAAAGAAAAAAAAAAGTCACCCTGCATTTTCAGATTTTTCTGCAGTTTGAAGACTGAAAGGTGTATTAAAAATAAATTTTAAAAATTATTTAACCAAAATGAAGATGTGACAGCTGGCAAGGGAGCCAAGAAAACTTTCTGCTAGCACTTTGTGAAGAAGAAGCTGCAGAACAAGTTTCTCTTAAAAAAAGGGTTGTAACCGGTTTATCAGGTTAGAGGAATTCATGAGTTCTTCCACCTCTCCCCCCATCCCATTTGTTTCCAAAAGCTCATTTAACCAGCTTGTTTCTTGCTGAATTTGCTGAAAATAAATTGCACCTGCAGCTCAGCTGGGCGATCAATAGGCATCCAAACATGCTTGAGGGAACTGGCAATTTGCTATCACCTGATAAAGTGGCAACCACTCACTATTTTCAATTTGAGCATCATTTAGGGGAGTAGTGGGGGGCAAAGGCCCAGCTTTGTCTCTCTCTATATAAGAATATGAATCAAAATATTCACTGGTGTATTTGATTCAGTATATTCAATCAGCAAGACAAGGAGAGTCTTTTAAACAAATTTTTAATATTTTAATGTCAATCCACAGATTAAAATTGAATGGTTTTAGTAGGTCCAAAAGCAAAGCCAGGTCTCACATGAGAATGTCTCCCTTTTTATGTATATTGTTCAAAGAAAGATGGTAATTACAGCTAAATACTGCAGACAGTTCTCCAGCATTATTAGCTCTTCTTAGACATCCTTTTTCAGGAAGACATGCAAATATTGCCTTGCAAAAGGAAAGTAACATGTCTTAAGGCAAGTCATGCTGATTCAGCCAGGTTTTCTATATGGAAGGGATTAAGAAATCCACAATACTTTCAACTTCATATGGGATCTTTAACTTAGAGCCCCCGTGGCTACAATCAGAGAAGCACATGAGGATGGCAGCTTTTTGATGACAGAGTAAGGGGGCTGAGAGAAAGGCAAAGTTCATTTTGGTTTTGCTCTTTAAAAGCAAGGTTCCATTCCTACAAGGTTTCAGAGAGCAGCCTGAGAATAACCACTCTCCCTCAAAAGCTTGCAAAGTGGGGAACTATAAAGCTACAGCAATTAACTAGAAAAATATAAATAACATGCTAAATAAGCCAGTCCTGTGATCTGGGGATCTGAACAGTGAAACTGGCAAGAATGTCCCAGTCATGCAGGAAGAGAACTATTCCCTTTGCTAAGTAGTGTAGTTGATACATGTTTAGAGGCTTAGATCACAGGCTCAAGAGATTTCCAAATACACATTTGAACAAGAGATCTCCCACTTTGTTAAATAAAAATCCTCAGTTTTCTACTCAGTAGCATTTTACAACATCTCAGCAGATGTGAGTTCACCATTACTTGTCTCACATCAGAGATAAGTTATTAATGCCATTTTGAACTAAATACATCAAGCAAGGGACTCCCAAAGGGCAAACATTTTATAATTTCAGGTAACTATTTCCCTGACATTTGTACATACTCCATCCCCACAAAGGAAAGCTATGACAACCCTGCACATCACCTATGAGAAAATACAGATGGATCCCATAAATTCAGTAGCACCTCTGGAATCAAATGCTTGTTACCCTGGACAAGTACAGTATTAAAAACCTTGCAACAAAACATACAGAGCATATGCTGCAGCAAGCAGCTTGGTTATTTGGGGGCAGTGTGCTTCAGGACTTTACCTTGTACAATTGCAACAGCCAAAATTTATTGAGAAGGAACCTTATTTCAGAAAATTTCAAGACAAATTCAAGTAGTAAGTGTGCAAAAATATGAAGTAAAATTAAAAAGATGCATTATTTGATGATGTGCCTGGCTAAAAGCAAGGCTTGACCACAGATTACAGGCCTTTGGTAGACTCCATCATTGCTGGAAAGTGAAGTATACAGCAATAGAAGGAGACTTTCTGTGGTCAAGGGAATAAGTCCAGACTCACAGAAGCTGATCTGCTGTTTGCCAGCTACAAATCACTGATTCAGAACCACAGAATGTTTGAAGTTGAAAGAGGCCTCTGAAGCATGGATAAAAGTTACAATGGATTTGTGCTCAGTGGTTCTCACTTCCCTCTACGTGTGGAGATTGGGAAACCAAGGCAAAAAAAAACCAGAAGCAGACACAAAACTTTCATTTACATGATTGAGATATGTGCTAAGGTGAGCAATTTTCAGCTGCATCATCAATTTTCTACCACAGTCCAGGCAGGGTGTGGAAAGCTAATTTCACGTACTCTATAACATTATCTCAAATCAAGGTACAAGTCTACTTCCTTTTCCTCCTCCATTTCAAATAACCACTTCAACTACCTGTTGCTTTTGCTAATCAAAATGCTTAACTAAGAAAAAAAATGTGTTGTCACCTGATTCATCCTCAAAATACATGATGCAATTAAAATATCCCGTGGACTTGTCTTCAAAAATGCAGAAAAGGATTTACTAATAAAGAATATGGGGTTTTGCTTTTTGCCACCACTGTAAGTGGGAAGTTGAATTAATTCTCTCCTAATTCTCACAGGAGTCAGGACACAGAGGGGAAGGGAGAAGAGTTTAGGTAAGGTGTGTTCCAGAAGACTTATGATGGAACTGGCCACATCACAACTGGCATCCAACAATTAACAGCAAAATCATTATTTAGTTGCATAGATATGCAAACAAAAAGGAAAAAAATTGTTGTTTTTCAAGAGTCTCTACCCACCTACACACAAAGGTAGTATTTCCTTTTATTTGCTAAAGCAGACCCACCTACAGTGCAATTTACAGCAATAAGATACAATCTCTCATAAAGTATTGGGTATAATTAAAGTGTGTCTGTTATAAAGGTAAACAGAGTGTACTAGGCTAAGCTGTTCCAGATGTCTTTAGTGCAAGATCTGGGACAAGATCAAACCTGCAGCTGCACATTTTCTCAGGGGTTATTATGGAGCTTTAAAAAAAAACCCAACCAAAAAAAAAAAAAAAAAAAAAGAAAGAAAACCACCTCTTGGTCCTGGACTCTAACAAAGCAAATGCAAACAGAACAAATGCCAGTGCAGCCAATGCTGACAGAAGTTAAGCCACATAGAAGTTACGTGTTCAGAGACACTCCAGAGTATAGTGTTAACCATGCAGTATCAAAGAGGGTTAGGACCAAGTCTGCCAAGTTATCTGTGTCACCAGAAATTACAGCAACATGAACCTGTTCTACTGCCTAAGCAAGTTTCTGCTGAAACACACCTACGAATGATTCAGACAAGGTGTGGAAAGGCAGGTTTATATGTTACACAAAAATGCACTATTGTATTTTTCCATTCAAGCACATTTCATGCATAGAAAAGACAGTCAAAGTAAGCAAACTTTTGGGAACTGCATTATGTGTACACTATTTGCACTAAATTTTTTCAAGTAGCTTAAGTCCTCTTGAGCTGTAAATATCATACAAATTTTAGATGTACTGCCTCAATGTGAAATTAAATGAGACAAAGAGCAAAACTACAGACATCAGAAAATAATCAAACCAAATCACTTTATAATCCACTCATTAATCTCATCTGGAAAAGAATGATACACAACAAGCATATCTGATGTTACATGAAAGATTTTGAAGATTTCAGCTGATTTTAAGAATAACAAATGAGAAAAAGGTTTCCAATACACATTAGAGCAGTGAACCTTTAGATTAGAATGTACCATGTGAAGTTTGAAAGTTTGATTAGCACTGCTCTATTAAGCAGTACTCTTACTGGCCTACTCTTTCAAAGCTTAAAAGAAACTTGGAATAAAAGTAGACCCATCAAAAAAAACCAGAAGTCAGATCTTCCAAGGACTCACAGCATCAACTCAAATACCCTCGTATCATACACAACTGTTTCAGAAATATGGAGTACCCATTTCAAATGGTTTCTTTTGGGTTAGCTTAAAAACAAGTATGAAAACTTGCTAGTGATTTCAAAGTGAAAGACAAAACTAAAATCCGTTTCCTTTTTCAAATCCATTAAATCTCATTCACAGGCTTCAATCTGAAGAGTCCCTGCTCCCAAAAGCAGCAGCTCACCTGCTGAAGAACCCGGTCCAGTGGTTCAGCTTTGCCCAGTCCCTCTGGTGTTAAGCCGCTGACTTCGCGACACTGGTCACTTAAGTCCAAGTTGTCTGCTTTCACCAGGGATTTGTGTAGTGTCCCTACCTAAAAACATTCAAGAAATTATGGACAAAAGTGAGGAATAATCGAAATAGTTCTTTCTAGCATTGTGTTGAGACTGCAGAAAAATCAGAAAGGTGCAGTATCACCTCCCGATAAACGCCAGGAGAAAACGCATTTGTCTATTTCACAAATCGAAACCTTTGGCCGCGGTTTCTCTCCCTCCCACCCCGGAGAGCCACGCTCTCTGCTTCGCAGTATCCAAGCCCATTTCATGGGAGGCCTTTTGCAGTTAGCACCGACTTTTGTGGGAGTTGTTAAATACAAAGGGAAGATCACTTAATGTTAAGGCAGTTCCGTGAATCCACTAATGAAAATCATAGTGCTGTTTGTTTTATCAAAGCCCTTCATCTCTAGGGGGTTATTTATGATAGGGCTTTTGGGGAGAAAAAAAATACTAGAGATGACTTTTAGGTTGGCCTAAGAATTAAAAGAAGTCAATATTCTCTTAAAGGTTATCCAAACATTGGTTAAACAAACAAAAAGCAGGCCCAAAGGGTCCAACGGTGACCGTGAGCCGGCTCCCAGGGAAGCGAGCACGCTCGGAGCCACCCGGGGGAACTTTTTGTTTTAAAGCTTCAAAAGTCCGTAGACATCCTCGAAGCTGCACATGATTTAAGGCGGACGGGGCAGTGGGGTGTGGAAGAGGCCAAACTTTTTGAAAAGTTACTCCTTCCCTGAAGACGGAACAAAAAGGAGCTTCCCGAGCGAGCGGCCCGGGCAGGGAATGAGCCCCGGGCAGGGAATGAGCCCCGGGCTCGGGCCCCGCGCCCTCCCCTCCCCTCGGTGCATTTGTGAAATGAACAAACGGCTCCGGGCAGGCGGCGATGCCCGGCACAGCCTGCTCGCCCCGCGCCGGGGAACGCGCCCTCGCCCCGGATATCGAAGCCATACCTTCTTGTTCTGTAGATCCACAACTTGCCACACCAAGAGAATTAGTTCCCTCTCATCCGAACCCAGTTTAGCCCCATATGCACCAGCTGTTGCCCCAAACAACACCACCAAAGAGTCACTGTGCGAAGCCGTCATGACCACAGGGGGAAACAACTACAATCAAAAGCAGAGGTCAAAAAAAAAAAAAAAAAGAGAGAGGAAAAAAAAGGCAAAAGAAAGACACACTAACAAACAAGGAAAAAAAAAATTAAACCAAAAATTTCCCACAAGGCTCACCCCCTACCTCCAAGTAATCAAAGGGAAAAGGAGCGAACGAGAAGTCGCGATATAAAGAGGAGAGAAAGAGCTATTTAGGATGTTGGGTGTTTGAGGGAAAAAAAAAAACATGGAGAAAGAAAGCTCTCATCTCTACCTGTTCCCGGTGATCTCCTTCCCGGGGCCGATTGGGAGATGAAATTAGCAAGCTGTGGGTTTCTCTACCTCTGACATCATGGCAGCTCAGTCTGGGCTTGGGCTTTTTTTCTCTCTCTCTCTCTCTCTCTTTTTTTTTTTCCTTCCCTCTTCCCCTTCCCCTCTCCTGAGTTACCTGCCCTTGGTGCAGCTCATGTGACTCTAGTCAATCTCCCAAAGGGACAAGGCCATTGGGCCTCTGGAAAAGGTGTAGGAGGGACGGAGGGAGAATCAACGCCTGGCTGATCCGGCCTGATTGGTTTTTGAAGGAGATCAGAGGCAAACTCCCTTTCTCTGTTGAATTCTGCCTGCAGGAAGTGCCTCTACCTGCTTTCAGTGCGGCGGGTGCCGCCCGGCGCCGGGTGCGGGCTGTGCGCGCCGGGCGTGCGGGGCACTCGGGGCACTCGGGGCTCGGTGCGCGCCGACCCGCGCCCGACTCGGGCCAAATCTGAACAATTTACGTGACTAAAACACAATTATGACTTAGCACTGAATTCCACGAAAGAAAAGTCTTTACCTGCTTCTAAGTAATTGCCCTTTGTGCACGTTGCTGTGTGTGTATCCAGCTACCGACACCAACGCTAATGTGTAATGAAAGTGTAACATTCCACAGGGATTTTTAAGGGATATTCCAGGCAGAGAGTACTTTGCAATTTGGGCCCTGTCTTTAATATAATTTGTGAAGATGGGTCTCAATAGAACAATTCTTCTTGTTTTGAGAAAGGATGTGTCTAGGAAGTTTTGCAAAAACGCAGTGTAAAACCTGCATTTTCTCCCCTACAAGTGCTGGATAAGGAGCTGTCTCCCGGGCATTAACTGCAGTCCAAGGTGGGCAGCTTTTCTCCACTCGTCTCTCCTCTCTCACTGGTGAGACTACAACGGGATACACCACCAAGTTTAGCTGCTATGAAAACACTCCTGCTCAACAGCAGCGGCAATATTTTTAACACTGGGGACTGAGAAAAATTTCAGGGATATTTTCAATTTGAAATTTTTAAGCAGAAAAAAAAAGATCAAAAGGCTTCTAAACTCTTTTGAAAGTTATTTTTTTCTACTGCCACCATTGATGAGTTACTAATGATTTTTAAAGGCCAAATGCTGCAAGTTAGACTAGTCATAATTTTTCTTTTGTTTAATTAAATCTTCAGTTTATACTTCAATATTAGCATTGTGTTGAAACAGAGTTTTTACTGAATGAAAATGGGTGCTGCTATTTAGCTACTGATGTCTATCATGGGAAAATGAAGATCTGGGCATTTATCTGTGAATACCTGATGGCTTAAAATATTAAATCACATTTTCTCATCTTCTTTCAACATTCCAATTTTATAATTGATTAATTACAGCAGTTATTATGGACCTCCTTCTAGCAAGCACTGATTCCTCATGCTAACACCACCAGCAAGACTAATTCCATTTATTTTAATGAAAACAAATTACAGTTCGATGATGCTGTTCAATGTGAGGTACCTTAGAATTCATGTTTTACAAGTATTTACCTGACAGAGGCCATGCAGGAAACCTTGCACAGGTGCATCTCACTGAATATCACAAGACAGTTAAACACCTCTCAGCGGTTGTCTCTGCAGCTGACACAGCTGCCTGAGAAGCAATCCTGGAAATACTTTGTTACAGAAAGGGCAAATTCTTGAACAAAGTTGAAAACTTTAAGCTGTAACATGTATATATTTATATATTCAAGATATTTTCAGCATTGTATTTTCTAGCATTGCTGAATTCATGCCACAGCTATATTTTCCTCTGTCAATGCATTTCCAGAAGTACTTGGTAGAATAAAACCCCATTCATTTTCCTTCTGTTATATCCTTTGGATACAGTGGTAATGAAACAGTGTAACAGACTGTTATTGAGTGTGGGATGATTCTTGTCCCTGAAGTCTGTAATAAGGACCATAAAAATGACTGCAAGTGTGAGACCTGTTCCTCTTTTCCCAACCTGTTCCCTGCCTCCCAAACTCACACATATATATGGAGGTGTTTGGAGAGAGGCAGTGTTTGTACAAATAAGTGCATATACAGATTAAGTGTAAATACAGATTTTAACTGTAGCTATGTTCACAGAAAAAAAAAAAAATCCAGGCTGTGGCAATTTAGCTGTCTTCATGAGGATGTCATTTTGTAGCCCTAATATGTGAGTACTTCATACATAATGGGATTTTAATTAGCAGATTTCTATAGAAGATCATACACATGATAAACTCTTGGCCAGGTTGACACATATGCTCACAGGCTCCAGTGAACTGGCTCAGAGAATGTCAACACATATGTAGTTGTCTTTAGGATCTAATGTGAAAGAAAAATGGTGGTAACTCACTCAGAGCAACAGCTCAGATTAAAGACATCCTCCTCAAATCAATGCCAAACACCCTTGAAAATTGATTTGAAATCTACACATGGTATTGAAGGCTGGTGAGCCCAAAAGCTTCCATGCTTTTTACAATTATATTAGCTCATCTCATAAAATGTAGCCTCTCTTCATAGAAAGCCCATCTGGTTTCTACTTTTAGACTGTCTTGACTCATATAATTCTACTGTTACTAATTTATCTGAACTATTCTAGCTAAATGAACTTAAAACATATTCTAAAGTGTTTAAAAACAACCCTTAAATAAATGCTGGCCTTCCTGCAATATCACACATTTCAAAGTATCAGATTATGCAATCAGCTTTTCATTCACCATCTATCCACAATCCTCCCGTTCTCTGCTCTGAACTACACTAGCAATTTATTGAGCTAAATAATGTAAAGGAATGACATCGTATGTCTCAACAGAACAGCAACAGGATCCAGTTCCTGAAAAACATATGGGACAAGCCCTTGTACACTGAGCATAGAAAAGTTAATTTGTAACCAAGATCTTGCTGAAATAAAGAGTTATTGCTCACCTTTAGCTTTAATCCTGGCAGGCATATTTAGAGAGGTCCAGACAAGGATTATGTCTCATAACTGAAACTAGGTGGAGAAGAAAAGTTTTAAAGATGGACACTCATTGTTATGCAAGCTCAGTACTGTGATTATTTTCTTATTAATCAAGCAATTAAAACTGTAAAATAGATCAGTTTTACAGTTAGATCACATGAGAGCATTGAAGAGACTCATTAAAAGCATTGTGCTTGAATGGATAAATTTGTAGTGGCATTTTCATTCAGGGAAGGGAAGGGAAGGGAAGGGAAGGGAAGGGAAGGGAAGGGAAGGGAAGGGAAGGGAAGGGAAGGGATCTCTTTTACTACATTATTAAAAATTCCTGTGAACTGAATGTCCTGATGACTGAAGTCCTTTTGTTAAAGCCTAATAAAAGGAATATGAAATTTTGAGACATGAGATCTGGAGTAGTATCCTGGCTGCATTTAGATCTACAGAAATACCTCAATAACCTTTCAGGGAATATGGAAGTTGATAATTTGCTCCAAACTATATGATCGTGAGAAGTTATTTGTCCTCGTGAATATTTTACTCATCAGTTAGAGGAGGAAAATAATGATGATATTTATCCCTGTAAAATAGTTTGAAATACCCTGAAAAAAGTGAATTAACTTTGAAGTTGGGTCTAATTTCAAAATTGGCTATGGTGGCAGGGCAAGGATGTGCACCAAAAGATGTCCAGAGGTCTCTTCTAGCTAATTTTTTTCCTATGATTTTGAGAAACAGAGATATTAAATTGAATAAGTATGGAGCCATAGGGATAGTAGTAAATTCTCTGCATGCCTCAGCTTCTCCAAACTGAACTGGCACTGGAAGTAAAAGATCTGTAAGTGATATGTAAGCAAACATGAGAAGACATTTAAAATTCATACCCATTCAGTCCTTAACTCCTGGATTGGATTGTAATATACTGCAGCAATATTTGCTGAAGGAGGAGCTTACAGTAACTCCTGAAACATAAACCCATAGGTAAAGAATTTTCTGGTGTCCTTTCTTTAACAGAAAATGAGTGGGAAAAGGCATGGGAACAAGTGCTTAGTAGTGTTCTTTGATTGCTGCCCAGATGTTTGGAGAGATCTGATCTTTCGGTCTGCCAGGTTGCTGTGCCATGATTACAATGCACTGTAGAAGCCTTGAAATAATTTCCATTGAGATAGCCACAAATGCTCAGCAATGTGCAGAAGAGCTTCAGAACTGTGTTTCTGATGGATTGTTACCCTGCAGATACCAGCACCACCAAGCCACACTGGAAGCATTCACTTAGAATCCTGTGTCAGTTGGAATTTATTTCTATTGACTTAAAGGTAAGTTAAAACATAAAATTGGTGACTAGACAAAATAAATAAAAATGAAATTACTTCCCCTATTATTTTACATGGCTTCTCTTCTTCATGGGATGACAATCAATGCAGTGGTTTAATCCTACAAAGATTTTATATGTGCTCAGTTCCCATTGGAGTATGGTGTGAGTTGTTTAGCCAAGTTTCTCCAAATTACACTTACCAGGCTTTTGAAAATCTAAGCATTTACTTTTCCACCAAACTTGTGCACAGATCAAACATGCTTGCATAGTAGTGTCCTCCATAAGTATTATCATAGATTTACATTAAAGTTAACAGTTTATAACAAATAAACTGAATTTCCTTTCTTTTTAAATTTGGAAATAATGCCGTCTGTCAAATAATTTACTGAACAACTTTCTGGATTTAGAATCACTGAAATGATTGCTGACCCTCTGCAAG